CCGACCAACCAGTCCAATGGATGATTCCCAAGACCAGGGTCGATAATGGATTACAAAGAGTAGAAGATATGATCACCGTAAAAAAGAGAAAACATGAATAGTATGAATAACAAACTTAAGAACAATAGAGAATAACCAAACGCAACGCAAAATAACTCAAAACGAAGCAACCCGATGTTTAATCGAGTTGTAAAATCTACAAACTGTAGGTATTGAGTTGATACTGAGTTATTTTTGTTTGAACTCAACCCAACCAGATAGACCTAATATCCTTTAAATTTTTTGATTTTATATTATTGTTAAGTCTCTATTAATATGTACATTAGACAATTACATCATAATGTATCCTTTTCATATACATATATTCTCAATCTATTCCCCATATCTATATAAGTAGCTCCTTTGTATACACATCTCTCTCTCTCTTGAGATTGAGAATATTAATTGAATCGATATACGTAAAATTTAAGAAGTATGAATAAGTTGTACCAAATGATTGATGATGAAAAGAAATTATGAGTAGAATAGAGAAAACAATATTTTCAAGGTTGGAAAAATATTTTGATGTACTAAAGTATCAATCCGACCAACCCGTACTTTTAGGTTAGATTAGGTTGAAAATTTTCAAACCACAAACATTGAATTGGTTGTTTTTTAAATGTCTTCGACCCAATCAACTCAACTCAACTCAACTTGAGCATCCTAGTAATAATAATAATAATAATATTAAAAGGTGATGGAATATTTTGATTGATTCAAATTTGAGGTTCATACTTTTCCCCCCAGAAATCCACCAGCCCCCCCACATGATATATAAATTCAACCTCATCTTCTTCTTCTTAACACTGATCCAGACTCAGACCCAACCCAACCCCACCTTTTGTCTTCTTCTTATGCATCTTTCTTCGTGTTCATGGCATGTGTAGACATCATGTATAACCATCATCATCATCATCATCATCACCATCATCAACAAAACTCCGACCACCCTAAATCCACCCTTAATCCGCCCATCAGCCCCCGTATTTCCTTCTCCAATGACTTCGCCGAATCCCTTCATTCTCGTCCTCAAAATATGCTCAGAGATTACAACGCCCCCCCTGTTTCCTCCGATTTCGAGTTCTCCGTTTCCAATAACTCCATGATGACCGCGGACGAGCTCTTTTTCAAGGGGCGTTTGTTGCCCTTTAAGGATGCTGCCATCGGACAAAAAACCACTCTCCGTGAGGAGCTCCTTGCCGGAGAAGACGAAGACGGCGGCGGGGTCGGTGGCGGGGGAGGAGTTTCGTTTAGGCCTCCGAAAGCCTCTTCTAGTAGTACACGGTGGAAAGGGTTTTTGGGTCTCCGGAAGTCCCACATTGGGTCCAAAAGATCCGACAAAGGAGACGGGTCTAGGTCCGGGTCTGGGTCGGGTCAAGACGAAGCCCATATCTCCAAAATTCCACAGGTTTTTATACATCCCCATACTTGTACATTTTCTTTTTATTTCTCTAAATATTTCCAATTTAAATATTTATTTTAAATAATTAATAAAGATTTTAGTCCCAAATTCTATTTATTATTATTATTATTTCAATGATTTTATTATTATATTTTAATGATATATCAAATTTAATAAAATGGCAGGAAATGATGAACGAAGAAGGATGAAATTGATGATGGCTGTAAAGGGAAGGGAGAGGGGGCGATTTTTTATTGCGGGGGCGGGGGGTTGGATTGAGAGGGGGGTATTCTTGTCATTTTGGAATTAGGTTAGCATAGAAGTTAGTGTTGGTTTGTATTGGGTGAAGGGTAAAATTGTAATTTTGGTAGAGGATAGATGGGATCTCTTCTTCGAACAGTCAAACTTCAACCTCTTTCACAAAGATTCTCCCTTTTTATCTTCTTGTCTTTTGCCTATAAAACAATTACCCCTACCTACCAACATTTATCACTCGCCTTTCCATCTTTTTTATTCCAATTTTACCCCTAACTTTTTAAAATTTCATGATATCTTGGTAAAACTTAACAAAGTCAAAAAGTTTTAATATTATATATGATTACATGTATGATATACAAATTTAATCATATATGATTAAACACATGTTGATTGTTGTAATGACAACATATAAATACTTAATTATATATGATTAAACATACCCAAAAAAACTGTAATTATATATGATATTGAAACTTATTGTCTCTTTGAAAATGTTTTAACTTATTCGATTATGTTTGTTATATGTATATATATTTATGTAAGTAATGTTTGACTGAAGTCAAAGTCAAAGTCAGAGACAGCTCAGGAACAGCTGGGGAAAAACAATGAAAGCGCAAAGTACAAACATGTACTTCCATCTTTATTCTGACACAACCCTTCGAAGTACTCCGTGACCGTTAATTGTGGGACACCTGTCTCCCTATCCCTTCATCTCCTTTTCTTTTTTAATTTTATTTCATTTAATTAATAATCAAATTAATACTTTAAAATATATTGCTTCTTAAACACATTTTTTAATTACATATTATCTTAAGAGTCCGTTTATCAAAGATTTATCGTTAAAAACTATCAATTTTTTTTTAAAATTTTCAGGTAATATTTTCAGTTATCAAAATGAATTGTTTGTATGTGTCTTTTATCAGGTAAGCGTAACTGGGTAAAAGTTTTCTCTTTCACTTATCAGATAAGTATTGTCAAGCCTCTTATTGGGTATGATTCTTGGTTATTGTTATGCTCATCCTATAACATAAATAATTCGATGAACGTTTGTAAATGAGTTTGTTTGGCTTCGATGAGAGCCACTGAATACATGTAGTAAATATCATAAACAGGTAACTAACATTAATCCTTATCGAAGGCTATTCTTTTTTTTAAATTCCGTTGGCCGGGAGATGTTGAAGCTGCATAGATTATTTGTATTGTGCCTACTATCATCAACCAAGGAGAAAATATAGAATGAGCGTGTGGTAATAATTCCATATTAATCCGAATCAATCCATACGCTCCCATTTTTAATAAAATTCCGGCTAGAAGCATACAAGTACTGTAATGCGCCTCCACTGAATACATGTAGTAAATATCATAAACAGTTAACTAACATTAATCCTTATCGAAATTATTGTTGGTACATAACCAACACGAACATGCAAGAAGACATACGGTTTTGGGTTTCAATCACTGCAAAAACTCCCAATTACTGGTTTTTACTTCGAATCAAAATACAAAACAACAACATTTATGATGATTACGTAGGTTCTAATTTGTGAAAGTGTTTATATCATATTTCTCAATGAATCCTCAATCTTCCACTAATAACACATTAGCCCCTCAACTTCTACTTATGACGTTTGAGACCCTTCTTAGTCAACTCTTAGAACTTCCTAATCTACGCATGCTCGTTCTTAATCAACCATATTCATCGAAACCTAAAATTGCCGGCCCTTAAATTGACTGGTTGGAGATGTTCTTAGAACGTATTTGAACATCCTAATAAGTTTTTTAGTTTTTTTTTAATTTTTTATTGAACATTTGTTTTTGTAAGACATTTTTTAAATAATGTCATATAAAAACTATTAGAACACTTTGTATCATTTTTTCCCGAAAAAACCTAGCGTACTATCAACTTATTATTAAACTTTACATCCAGGGACAGACCTAGCTTTGTGGTTACATGACACGTGCCACCATTTCACTCCTCCATCGTAGTGTTAAAAAATTAGGTTCGTGAAAGATACAACATCGATTTATTGTGTGTTACCATATATATTTTAAAACTACAATAAGAACAAAGTTTTCCTTGATAGAGTTGGTTTAAAAGACTTTTCTTTCATCTTAGACTCGAGTTTGAAGCCCGTTAGTATGATTATTTTAGTTTGTCTTTTGATTTAAGATTTTTAATGTTTCTGAGAAAAAAATTACAATAAAAAACTTGAACATAAGACTTTACATATGAAAATCAATGAACTAACAAACAGACCAATTATGATGTGGAAAATATCCCGATATTTGTTTCTTATAGTCAAATGGTGCCACAATTTGAAAACTTTTCTGGGTCCGTCGTTGTTTACATCAGACACACAATTGTTTGATAGTATAAACTTAATCTCACAAAACAGTTTATGATAACATTTAGGCATTTCTGATGTATTATAAAACCGATCCCGTTGTAATACCATCAGCTGAAAAGCTTGTAATTCTTGACCAAGTTTACTCTGGTTAATAGAGGATGAGCATCAAGAAGGAATTCATTCGAGTGTTGACCATGATGCAGAACTCTTTGACTTCATCTAATTTTGATTTGACCCTAGAATGTTCCGTGGCATGGCTACTTGGCTACGGACCATGGTCAAGGAGTTGAACGTGCTTCCTTTGAACCATGGTATATAATTATAATCTCAAATATAACAGTTGAGATGGTCGATATTTTCACCACATATTAATTGATTAGAATTGAATAAAAATTGAAATATTAATTATTCAGATATGTCCCCTTTTAAACTAATTTCTACGAAAAATTTACCAAAGAAACACAACGTCAAGAAAGCAAGTTTGTTTGGTGCTTTATAGTTTATACAATCTCACTTCCGTTTAACGGGTGTTTGAATGTGCGTTTCAAAGCAATCGTTCAAACACTAAACATCACGAGAATAGCATATATGCAACCTCGGTGCCGGCTTAAAACCCCGATGACATCTAGGTTATCTTTGTAAACCTAAAGAAAACCTTGGGAGCCGGCTTAACATGCAAATTAAGACTAGGTCTTGGGGTTCATTCCTATAAGTCATCAGTTCAAGTCCCGTCCTTCAGAGTCACTAGCCGTTATCTTCAGGTTCCCATGGGATTAGTTAACATGCGTGCAAGCTAACCTGAACACATGAACCCTCGTCAACCCTCCACAACCGTTGATGAACAAGAAGGAAAAAACCGAACCAAAATGGGTGACGGTGGTCAGACCGAAGAGGATGGCAGCGGCATCAAGGTAAAAGAGCTCCTACTTTTCATTACTAGTCCAGACAAAAGGTTGCTACTAATCAGATAATACTAGCTCATAGGTCACAAAGTTTTACAGTTTATGATGAGCATGTCACATATCTAAGTTTTTTTAATCGAGCTTACCATGGTGTACCAAGTGCGTCCCGGAACCGGTGCTCGTACTTCTCAGCCTTCCGCTTCAACGAACCCGAAATCCGCTCAAACTTCCGAGCGTTTTCCTTCAATTCCGAAATCTTTTCCGTAAGTTTCTTTATCTCATCCTTGATCCGTTTCTGTTCGTTTCTTGCCTCCACGTACCTCTTCATATCCAATGCACCTTCTGATACGAGTGTTGCAAGTGTATGTATCCTATCGCGTAAAAAACCAACCTTCATTCCCAAGAGCTCGAAGGATCTCAGGGAATCATCCCATACTCCAAACTCTTCCTTTGTTGTGGTGGGCTTGCAGTTCTTGATCTCGTTTGCAATGCTTACGGTTTCACCGATCATACCCGCCACCAGCTTGTAGTACAGACCTTCACGAAGACCATCGTGAAGGAATTGTTTCCTATCTAGGCATAGTTTGTAGTAACTAGCTCTGACGTCATCCGGAAGCTCAGAGTCGATGCACAGCCCTTTGACTACAATCCGGAACTCTTCAAAGGCTTTGACTTCTTGGAACAAAAGCACAGGTTTAGAGGGTCTGGAACCTTCTAGAACTTCCGAGCCTACCTCTTCACTATCGTTTCCGGAATGTTCAATGCGGTGGCTGCTGAGCTGAGAAGGGGGGATGGATCTTGATGAAGGGGGAGTCTTTTTGTGCTTCTTTTCGACCACGGTTAAAGAAAGAGGCTCTGTATGCTTGCTTCTCTTTGTTTTAGGAGATGGAGTAACTGTTTCCACATCATTGTATTTTCAATGACAAAGAAAGGTTTTAACCAAAATTGGGTAACAGAAAATTCAAAATAGTTGTATTCAGTTAACGATCATGGACCTGGAGTTATTTGTTCGGTATGTGCCTCCAAATTCAAAAGGCTAAGAGCACCATCTACTTCATTCGAAACATTCGCCTTAAGTATGTAAACCTACAAATATAAGAATTGAGATCACACATGCATGCCATGAATGCTTATGTTTCAAAAAGCACATGTACATCCTTGGGGTGTGTTTGGTATGGGGACACGACTGGATGGGAGAGAGTACGGTAAGTGGGGTGAAGGAATTGTGGAAGGTTTTAGGGTTTTAATTTGACATCGGTATTTTAGCAATTCACCAATTTTGTCAAATCTCCCCCATTTTTGTTCCACCTATTTTGGTGGGATAGAAATAATGCATCTTTGTCCGACTCGGGACCTATCCTGTAGCAGTCTAATGTGGGGCCAAGTGTGGGAAAATTTCTGAGAACCTGAATTACTCATGATGAATATACCTAAATATTCATGAATATTATTCATGAGGTATATACCTAAATATTCAGGAACATTATTCATGATGAATATCATGCATTTTCATTATTCATCATATTTCATCATGAATATATCGTGATAGACATTCATGGGTAGGGGTGTCCAAGGTGTGGTTTGGGTAAAACCGCAAACGGCACCGCATATGCGGTTTGAACATTTTCCCAAACCACAAACTGCACTACATGCATCTCAAACAGCAAAAAATGCACCGCCTTGCGGTGCGGAATTTATGTGGTTTGTACCTAACACACTTTACGCTTACAATCCAATATTATAAAATCAACGATAACGTGGCTGTAGTCCAAAAAGATATAAACTTTCAACATGTCCGATTACCAAATACATATTACATAAACTAAAAATAGTCTAAGAAGTAAAAAATTAACTTCAAACTAAATCATTGAGACTTGAAAGTAACTTATGGTGAAATCGTGTTGTGAATGTTGATTAAAGCCTAAAAGAGCCTAATGGATTATTGGGCTATAATCTATTAATATTATTGATCAACGCCAAAAACTTTGAACTTATTAATGGACCATGAAGAAAATAGATTAAAATTAGCAATTATTCTATATATATATATATATATATATATATATATATATATATGTTATAAATAAAATAAAAAATATATACATACATATAATGTGCGGTGTGGTGCGATTTGAAGCGCGGTATGATGACTCAAAACCGCAAACCGCACCGCATAGTGCAGTTTGGTAAAAATGCAAACCACAAACCGCACAACAAAAGTTCTAAACCGTGCTTTCTCCTGCGGTTAGGGGCAGATCCCCTGGGTGTGGTGCGGGCGGTTTAGATGAACACCCTTAATTCATGGTAGAGGGAGAGAGCTATATATTACCTTAAATTTCCAAGGTTCAACCAGATGGAAGACCAAAACATCTCCTTCAATCAAGTTATGTGTAACTGCGAACTTTTTCCAACCCGCGCTAAGCCCACTCTTGTATGCAATATATTTGACTTCACATTGCTCTCCCTTTTCATCTTCAAGTAAAAATGTAGTGTCTTCTTTTGGGAGAAATGACCTACAGAATGGCAGCGGAAGGCCCTACAAGTGCGCAGAATAAGGGGGAGTGTTGTTTTGTCATGTGCTATTGTTTAGGCTAAAATGGATTGTGAGCAGTTGAAGGCAGAGGCATTACCATCCAAAAACCACAACTGACTTGTGATCTAACCATTATCTTAATACAGCTAGGAAACTCAATTCCAAGACTTGACTGAACCTCCAGTGCTCTAATCATAGCAGGTGAACTTGGAACTGGAGTTTTGAAGCCTTTAGTTGGAGACTTTTCTTTCGTTAAGCTGCATGTGGAACAGACGGCCATCATTCTATGAATCTTCATAACAAAATAAAATGAAGAGTGAATTGTGAATTTGGTCCTTGTTTTGATGTATTTTTTACTAGGGTCCTTATGATATGTTTATTGTGGATTTGGTCCTTGTGGTATTTGTAGCCTTTTACTTATTCTTGTCTTTTTCCTATAAAAAATAAAAACAATATTTTTATACACACACATATGTATATAACGATATCAAAATAAATAAATAAAAATTATTGTATGATTTGATTTGTTTAAATTTTTTTAAAAATTAATTATATTAAATACAATTTAATTTTATTGTTTTATTGTAATGGTATAAAAAGATATGGTTTTAATGTAATTAAAATTTTAATTTAAACAAATCAAATCATAAAACCATATGTTGTTTTATTCAGAGCGAATAAAATAAGATATGGTTAAACTAAAAAAATAATTATGTTAAAGACAATTTAATGTTATTGTTCTTTTTTTAATCATTGCAATAAACAACTTATTATCGATATTTTAACAGCAAAATCATTGAAAACCACTAAGAAATGAACTCCAACTTTATCATCTTAAAATTAAGGTTTCCAGTTTTCATATTGTTTTTCATTCAAAAGACTCAAAATCAACAATTTAGATTAAACAAATGAAAGATTCAAACATACTCTCATCTTTGTAACTTAAAATTGAACAAATTCCTAAATAAACTTTAACCAGGTTTTCATACCGAAATAGGCAAATATACTAAAACAATAAAATTAAATTGTATTTAATATAATTAATTTTTAATTTAAACAAATCAAATCATAAAATAATATCTTATTTTCTTTATTGTGATATCATTATATATATATATATATAGGGTTGGGTTCACGTGAGACCAATGGTTTTTCGTGAGACCCGTAAGACCAATTTGTGTTCATTGATCAAATTTATGAATTAATAATCTAATGGTTGCAAAGTTGTAAGGTGGCAATTTCGTAATTAGTGAGAAGTCTCATGGCGTTTATAAATGTTCAGATCTGACGATTGTAAATCTAATCCAAGGGTTGAGAATTGGTCTTACGGGTCTCACGAAAAACCATTGGTCTCACATGATCCCAAGTCTATATATATATATATATATATATATATATATATATATATATATTTGTGTGTATAAAAATATTGTTTTTACTTTTTGTAATAAAACAGACAAAAGAATAGGCAAAAGACTAAAATGACCCTTGATTTAACGAAGTTAACGGAGTCAGTCAGAAAGACCATGGCCAAAACAATATTGAATACTACAAGGACCAAATCCACAATAAACATACCATAGGGACCCTAGGCAAAAAACATCAAACCACAGGACCAAATCCACAATTCATTCTAAAATAAAACAACTAGAAAGCAAGACTGACCTCAAACAAGGGACTGAAGGATCGCTTAGTACCTGCTGATAAAACCATAAGTGATAAGCTTCATGTTATGCAGAACAGTAGGAGGAGCCGAGGAGCGCTTCTTGAGCGATGTCAATATATACAAGAAAAATTAGGCATAATTTAATCTTCAAACATATTAGACTGCCTTCTTTTAGGCTTACCAATCGCATTTCATAGGCCAACAGGCATCCTAAGCCGATGCAGAAATCTGCTATAATCTGACCCTAAGCTACATTGATTCAAAAGCAACTTATGCTGCAAGCCTGCAACATATGGTACATGGAAAGAAGATAGACAACAAATGGAGTGGCACGAACTAGGCACTAACGAAGGGGACCCCTCTTCTTGGAGGTTTATCCCTTTTCTTGATGCTTAAATCTCTCACGACAAGATCAAAACCACCAGGATCAGGAAACGTTGTAAAACCAACCTCATGGTTGGTGAGATGAGTACCAACTAAATGATATATAGTTGTGCTTTAGTCCCCTCCATAAGCTAGTCCCTAAGGTGCCTTAGGTAAGCAAACGGGACTGGAAGGGACAGTCAAGAGCGAGGTAGGCAGATGAGTGCAAGGTTTTAGGGGTTCAATTTGACATGGGTGGTTTAGTAATTTACCAATTTTATCTTCTTTATTTATTGTTCCACCAATTTTGGTGTCGGTCCCGTCCTGTCAAATGTAGCACCAAAAGTGGGACAACATGTTTTTGTTTTGTCATGTCTCATGCACCAACCGCATGGTCCGCATCCTACACGTAAACAAGGATTGTGCTTGACACCTATATAGCCACCTCCATATGAACAATTGAACATGTATTTTGATTTACACCCAAAGGATGATCTAGGTGTTAGTTAGGTTTCACTTTACATATGAAGAACCCTAAATCGAACACTATAAACCCAAAACCCTAAATTGAACATCTCTCTTGCTCCTAGCTAGATAGATTAGCAATTACGGAACTTCTGTTCAACATAGAGAAAATAAATTGAGACAGCTATGGAATGGATTAATGGAACATTGTATATTCCAACAGGATACGTATGAATGTTCAAGGAAGTTAGAGAATTTCCTTTTTCCACAAATCGGTCTCGGATTTAACTAGCTACTTCTCAAATGTTAATTGATAGCAATTTTAGAAGCTTTGCTAGTAAACCGCCAACTACATTCAACTTAATAACATATACAACAACTCTAAACACGGTGTTTCTAAATTGGCAACAAAAACCGCAATAATTTTGCAATTTTGAAAAGTGAAGTGTAAAACTCAAACAAATTCTTACAATCTTAATCTTCGGAGAAGAATGTTCCTTTCGAACATCGGTTCGAGAAACATCAAACCTCATCGGCTTCGATTTTCGCCGTTTACTCTGTCAAAAACACAATCAGATCCACTGTTTAACCAACTGACTTCAAGTAGACACATTGACAAATTGAAACATAAACATATAACGAGAAGAGATTAGAGGTACCAATGAAGAAGCACAGGGAACATGAAGCTGAGTAAGAGCTGTTTTCGACAATTGCGCTATAATCAAGTTGTCTTCTGCAGAATTGGGGGTTTTCAGTTTGTTAATGACGATCTGAGAACCGGAGCGTTCTTCATCTAAGCTGGCTTCTCCGGTTACCGGAGCTGCCATTATTAGGGATTTTTGGGGTTTTGATCGGAGAGAGAAGGTGAAAACGGAAAAATAGGGAAATGGTGTTTCAAGTGACGAAGAGGAGATTAAAGTGGCCGTTGGTCCAAGAACGACTGGTTTCCACGTGTTAGCTTCTCACTATCTGTAAGCTGTTACATTTTGAATTTTATCCTTTTACCCCCTATATTATTGCTTAATTTCACTTTTTACCTTCTAATTATGAAAATATGCAGACATCACCCCGTTTTTGTAGGATTTTTACTATTTTTAGGAATGTCCTTGTAGTTTCCCATGATCAAGCAGCAATCCAGAGACGTGGGCATGAATCATGATTACAATTTACAAGAGAACGGCATCTCACATGTCAAGCACGTGTCTATCATATTGATTTTATGTCTAAGTTTTTTGGTTCTCGTCTCTCGACATATTTTTATTTAAAATTTTAAACTCTTCGATTGAAGCATTTTATTATGTCAATATTTATTTCCGACTTGTTAAAGCCCATCATCGTTCTCTCACACGAGGGTACTTTGGTCATTTTGCTTCTTTTCTTTTTAGGATTCATTTTCTTCTTGAACGTAATGATATGCATTGGTTCTCTTTTTCCGTCACTAAAACTTGTCCTTACAGTAGTTCGTTATTGGGTTTGGCGACAGTGGTCTCAATTACGAAGGAGGTACTGTACCAGAGGTTGGCGAATATAAAGCTTCGCTCTTCCGGACTCCGACCCATTCTAACTTGTTTCGAATCCATTTTGCTCCATTTTATAGCATTATTTTACAAGTAACATGTATTTTAACCTTTTTGCATACTTAAAACTTCATCAAACCATTGTATTTTGCTATAAAATAAAAAACAAATGACTTCAAAAATCATATTTTAAAAGGGAAAAGTCTAAAAAACCCACCGAATAACCATATCTGAGTAATCAAGTCTTTGAGCAGTTAGGTCTAAAAACAGTTTTTTGAACAAAAAAACTCATTACAGTTATAAAAGAAAGTAATTTATCATTTTATCAATCGATGTATCTAGATAAGTAACAAAGTACAATAATTCAATAAAACTGATTAAATATTATTGTAATTATTATTTATTTTTGAAAAATCATAATGGAATTTCACAATTGTTTGTTTTTTATATTCAAATAATAATCATAAAATCATAACAAACACATGTGATTGTCATTTAAATCTGAAAAATAAACAATGGTTAATAAAAAAATAGTGTATTTTTTTTTCCTTTTATTTGTTTGTTGTACTTTAATATTGATTTTTTGATACATGGAAAAATAAATGGTAAATTTCTTTTGTTTTATAAGTGTAAAGATTTAGGAGTTGTTTCTTTACCTCTTAATGGTTATTTTAAAAGATAACATCTGAATCGTTAAGAGGTGAATCTTGTTTGGCAAAAAAAAGGTATGTCTTTTAATGGTTCTAAAACCCTCTGAATGATTTTGTATCATGGACATCCCTTAACCATTCAGCGTTTTAATTTCATTGTAAACAATTACCAAACAAATATGTTTTATTTTGCACTATATCATGAAAGTCTCTTAATCAGCAAGACAACAACTGCCAAACAACCCTTTATTCATTCAAAAATTGTTTGGTGCCCTAACTCAAAATATGAAAGTTTATTGGGTTTTTCGCGGTTTTTTGACCTTTTCGTATTTTAAAATATTTATTTTTCATTTACAAATGGGCCGCTATTTTGTGAGTTGGGCTTGATTAGCAACTGGGAGCCCAATGTGGAGTTTTGCTTTGCAACTTTATCATGTGAGAGTCTTTTCTTTTTATTGATGCATATTATTTAAAAAATTTAGGATTACAAGTAAAGTGTGTATAAATACAATTTATTAAACCTTCATATTTGAATTCGTGTAACTATCTACAGATAAACATAATCATATACAAGATAAACATCACATTTTAAATCTAAAAAATCTAAAATATAATTAGAATAGTCGTTGATATCTAATGAAATACTTATTATTATATTTATAAAAAATTATATTATTAAACCAAAAATAAATTGATTCGTTATTAAACTAATAGAATACTTAATTATTATCTTTATAAAAAATAATATTATTAAACTAAAAATAAATTGATTCATTATTAGACTTAAATTAAATTATAATAAAAAGGTTGAATCAACGAAATTACATAAAAACGAAAACTTTTAAATAGTTAATTTGATACTAATATCGATATTTCTTTTCAAAATTTTATGATATTTTTAAATTTATATTTTATTCAAAAATAAAAATATTACCATTTTCTCAAAACCATATAAAAATGTATCATATCAATAGACAAAAAATAAAATAAAATAATAAAATCAAGATATATCTCACTGTATTATACGAATATTTTTCTAATGTTAGAAGTGAGAGTTTTTTTTAATTGATTTGGGACAAAAACATCTGATTTAAAAAAAAAATGTATAAAACACATTATAGTTTCGATTTAATTAAGATAAGAAAAAAAATCAGATTTTAGTCCTAACAAATACATAAATTCATAGTTGGTGGCGTGCAACATTAATTTAAACATTTTGACTTTAAATCCTATGTTTACTATTAAATCCATTAATTTACTAAAAAAAACTTATATTTTTTTTTAAATTAAAAGAAATTAATAAAACACAATTGACTAATGATCAAGAGATTTTCACAACTCAATTTGAAAACAATTAACCAGAACCACACATGCTATTAATTAAGCAATTAACGACGGGATAACGATCGTAATTAAATTCCTTGATTTTGTCTAATTATCATTCTATCAAAATTACCCGTAAATCATAGTGGTTCGATTTTTACATATAGTAAATATTTAATTTTTGATCATTTAAATTTCGTCTTCGAAACCAGTCCATGGGCCCTACAATATTATGTTTTAAGATAGGCTAATAGGTTCGAACTCATAACCTCAAACATAATCATAGACATAACTATCATTGCATCAAAGCGACTTCTCGTTTATTTTTCTCCCATTTTGATTTTAAAACTTTTTCTCATGATTTGTTTTTTGTTTTCGCTGCAAAATATTAAAAGTGGGTTTTTCCAAGCAACATATATTTATTTTAAAGATCAAATGCCGGTCCGTTTGAAAAAAATGTATTTTATGTTCAAAATCGACACGATTAGTTTGTACCCAGGTAAAACGCTATTTTGTTGATCGTTAAAGGAGCACCCGTTCAGAATAATTCCTAGGTCTACCACTAGGTTCAAATAAGAAAGTGAAATATTGTGGGAGGGTAATAAGAGAAGATTAACGGAAGGTTTGTGTGCGAATCAATGGGAAAACAAGAAAAAAAATCTATTTAAAAATGCATATGTGAACCAATATGATAAAATATTCATATATATATATATATATATATATATAGATTTTTTAATGATTCATATATAAATATTGACTTTATCTGTAATTTTCTTATTTAATAAACTATTAACAATAGAAAGTCAAAGAAGGCAAAAGGCTAACCCATTTTGGAAGCTTCGATTTTGTTTATTCTATGAAAATTTATGGTATTTCCGCCATCCTTGGTCAACAAATTGGAAGCTTTACATGCACGATTTTTCCCTTCCACATTTCCCTTCTCATTCAGTCTATACAAATAAATATGTTTGCGTATATGCACGCGCACACATACACACATATATATATATATATATATATACATACACGCACGAAAGATCGTATAAGAGTTACAGTAAGAAGCGTAAAAAGATATTTGAATTCTTAAATCACTTTTAATCTTACCTCCAACCTATAAATTGCGTTTGATACGAGAATTGATTCGATGCATCTCGGTGCATCTCGTTAGTGTTAATCTTCAATCAGGATTGACCCAAGAGTAAAAATCAATTCTCATTTTTCACCATAACTTTCATTCTTATCAGAACTCAACTTTATATATATATATATAGAGAGAGAGAGAGAGAGAGACACACACACATATCATCTATCATAATTTAAACCAGATCTAAATTTAACGATACAAATACATATATGAGAAATGTAAAAAGTGATATGTTTTTAACACAATTTTAAATGACGTACTAAAAAACTTAATTTATTAATCAACTTACTAGAAGATAAATAGATTCGTTGAAATGCCATGTTAAACATATTTAATGAAATCGAGACATATTAATCACCAGATCTACCTTTGGATAACCAAAAAAATTATCATTAATTGAAAAACAAGTTGTCAATTAACAAGTTTTAGGGGGTGTTTGGGATTGCTTATAAAAACAACTTATTAACTTATTCTGGTGTAGTACCGGTAATAAGCACTTTTGAATGTTTAGATAAATAACTTATATCGGTGCCAAACCGGTAATAAGAAATTTTTAAAGAAGTTAAACTCTTCTGACTTATAATAAGTTGATAAGTGCTGTTGTAGAAAAATATAAGTTGTTTCAAATAAGCAATCTCAAACACCTCTTTAATTTTGGTTTTTCCGAAATATATGTTTAATAATTAGTCCATCATTCTTATTAAAGTATTTATAAATTAAAAGTTATATATATGTATAGACTTGGGATCATGTGAGACCAAAGATTTTTCGTGAGACCCGTAAGACTAATTATCAATCCTTTGATTAGATCTACAATCTCAATATTTATAATCACAAAATTGGCACGAGACTTCTCAATAATCACAAAATTGTTATCGTGCAACTTTAACCATTAGATCATTAGCTTATAAAGTTGATCAATAAACATAAATTGGTCGTACGAAAAACCTTTGGTCTCACGTGAACTCAACCCTATATGTATGTATGTATGTATGTATGTATGTATGTATGTATGTATGTATGTATGTATGTATGTATGTATGTATATATATATAAAGTTGTTTATTTTTAAAATAAAAATTATATGTAAATAATAAAAACGTAATTTAAAGAATCATATATATACAAGTGTCTAGAATTGATGGCGTAAGGTAGCCAAGTCGAACTCCGACGGCTATTTTGACCGAATTTAGTGGTTTTTTCCAAACACATGGCCAGCAACACACGACCACGACTTACTTGTGTCCCAAGGTTTCCCTTTCACAACCAACTTTTAATTTCAATTTATGATTTTAATGACATTCATTTATAGAGTAAGCTACTAATCTGGTCCCTGTAGTTTGTCAAAAATGACACCTTTCATCTTTATAAATTTGAAATTACAAGAAGGTCATTGTAATTTGTAAAAACGTTCGAATTTGATCCTTCTGTAAGAATATGTGGAACCTTAGATTAATCTCCAAAAGAACCATTGAGAGAATAAGCGATGTTCCAACATATATAGAGAAGAATTTGTGCAAGTGTAGTCGATGTGGAACTCTAACACATTTCCTCTAACGACCGTTAAAAAATTTCGTTAAATATGGAAATCTTTGTCCTTCGATCAAAAAAGATTATCTTTTACCTAACCAAAATCGATTTTTGATTTTGTTCTATGTGGTTTTTGCTTGTGTAAAACACAAAAAATTGATAAAAATACGAAAATGCTTCTTATTTAACGGAATTTTTTAACAGACGTTAGAGAAAGGGACCAAATATAAAAGTTTTTAGAAATTACGATAGTCATCTTGTAATTTTGAAACTATAAAGATAAAAAGTGTTATTTTTATCAAACCACATGGACCAAATTTGTAGTTTACTCTAAATTATTTTGTTATTTTTTTTTTCTTGTTCTGAAATAACATATGGCAATATGTCATATTTAGATTATATTTTAATCATCATGGTCCATGGATGTGTAGATTAACTTGTATATCTCGACTAATCCAAATTTGGTTATTGTTGAATCAGATAAAAATAGTATCATTTACATCTGTTAGTTCGATTTAAAAAAACATAATAAGACTTCTAATTCATAAAAAGAAGACTAATGAGTTGTTTGTTTACCTCTTAATAGTTTCATTAAGAGGTGAATTTTGTTTGACAAAAAAAATCTGTCTCTTAATGGTTTTAAAATTTTCTGAATGATTTTGTATCTTGGACCTCCCATAACCATTCAATGCTCTAATTTTATTGTAAACAATTATATTTTATTTTGCACTATATCATGCGAGTCTCTTAATCATTTTGACCATTTAATTATTCTGCACCAAACCATTCAGCAATTGTCAAACAGCCCCTAAGCATTTTAACTTGATAAAAACCATACATCCACTTTGTTGGTATGAATTTTCAAGCTCATTGATAATATGAACGTGTCACGAACTCATGTTTGCGTATTCAGACACCAAGTCGGATAAATGTCCACTTTTAAAAAACAATTAAAATTGATAATTGAACGACCGTCATAGTTTTTCAAATTATTATTGATAACCGAAAACGATGGGAGAAAGTAATTTGACTATTTGGTTCATATGATGATGAACTTGTATAAAAACAGACGAAACGTAAATGAGTTGATCAGTCATTGGATCTGACTAATTGACTTAGATGCCAAACCGTTCATGAATCAATTCTATCTTGTCCTAACTGGAATCCATTATTTATGTTGCACCAAAACCTATATCAAACCAACAGAGCTGGCTTTCCCACATCTCAGAACAAAACATTTCCCTTTTTTTATCGTCTTTATACTCATTATCAACGTGCAGCTAACCCATTTATAATCATAAGCGTAAACCATATTTTCTTTGTGAAAAATGGACAACAACTCTGTTAATATTAAAAAAATAGACATAAACCTTATTTTCTTAGTTCCTAGTGTCGTATGATATTTCGATGTTCTCAAGTATTTTTTTTCTTTCTCAAATTCAAGATAACAATGTAAATAAGATAATATCAGTTCTTTATAATATAAAGGCCATTTACGAAACGACTTACTCGTTAAGTGCTTACGTGGTCATTTTAACTCATCGAATGAATAAGATAAAGATTAAGGGGTTGTTTGTTTACCTCTTAATAGTTCCATTAAGAGGCAACATTTGAATCGTTAAGAGGTGAATCTTGTTTGACAAAAAAAAGAAAGTTTATCTCTTAATAGTTCTAAAACCATCTGAATGATTTTGTATTCTGAATCTCCCTTTAACCATTAAGAGCCCTAATTTTATTGTACACAATTACCAAACAATTGTATTTCATTTTGCACTATATCATGAGAGCCTCTTAATCATTATGATCACTTAATCATTCTGCACCGAACCATTCAACAATTGTCAAACAACCCCTTAAGTGTTTTACCCTGTAAGACCAATGAGAAATACTAAGAGTCTTATCGGATAAAAAATGTTGCATACAAGGTCATTTTAATATACTAAAATTTTACCCAATAAATGAAGTGAAAATTACTGGTAATAAGTATTTATAGGATAAAGGTCGACTTTTATCTATATTCGACCAGTCGCTTTCACAATCAGACAGACTTATACCATTACGCTCATGAGCATAATCTTAGCTTAAGCCTATCTTGGAATAATATTGTTAAGTAAAAGTTTTAAAATTTATCACATTAATTTGATAAAAACACACTTATTATTATTATTATAAAATTGGTAATTAAAAATATTAAAATAAATAAAATCTAAACCCTTATGGGAGATGTGGGGATAAAATAATATAAAATTTGAATTAAAATATACTAAAAAATATATGTCTTCATTATGATAGAAAAGTAATAGAATAGCAGTTGAAAAGCTGAAAGTGACATTTGAATATTAAGAGGGGTTTGAGATTGTTTATTTCAATTAATTTATGTTTTTTTTATAAAAATATTTATTAATTTATTATAAATTAAAATGATTTAATTTTTTAAAAAACTTCTTATTATTATCGGTATAAATTATTTATTTAAACATTTAAAAATATTTATTATCGATATTATATTATAATAAATTAATAAATTATTTTTATAAACAATCCTAAACACTTCGAAATGCCAAATAATCTTGCAATAAAATACTAACTCTCAAAAAAATACTATTTTTTTTTGGATTCCCATGAATCCTGGGAACCATTTCAATCCCACTTCATATCTTCCAATTCCATCTCTTATACATCCGATTCCTCCATTTTCTTTCCCATCTTTATTCGGATTTTGGCTCAATTTCTTATTCTTCTTCTTCTTTCATTACGATTCTTACACGCAAATACCTTCGATTCTTGGCCAAAAATCCGAGTGTTTAAGTTGCAGTTTTTTTGGGTTTTTGCTGTTCGATTATCAGAGCGAAGTATGCTAAACGTCTTGCCAGATTGGTTGAAGATCATCTATGTCGTTTTTGCCTTCTGTTCTGCTTTGTTCTTCGGTGCTCTTAAAAGTTCGTATTTCATCTCGGTTTGACTTTTCCGTTTGTTGATCGACTGTTTGATTGCTTTTATTGATTTCTGTATGTATTTGGAGACTGATTATATGTGTGTGATATGAACAATGATGCAGGTGTGTTGGTGGGTCCAATTGCTGCTCTGATTCTGATTACAGGAAATGTTGGAGTTATTTTAGCTCTATTTCCTACACATGTTGCTTGGACTGTCTACACCCTTATCAAGTATTTATTCTTGTTTCCATGTCTGTTTATTGTGTGGTTATTTTTCTTTACATGAACATCATTTTTGATATATTTTAGGACCCTATATCCTCTATAGAAATGGTCAACCATCTGTTCTATCGATTCAAACCACGTTAACCGATAAACTAGCTGCCGATAAAGTAGTCATGTTTAGTAAAAACCAGTTCATAAGCTAAATTAGAAAAAGAACCCCTCCCGGCTTGTTGAAACAGTGCTTTCAATAAGCTGGTTTACAGGTAATCAAATGGAGTTATTTAAATAAGCACAAAAAATATGTTGGCTTTATAATTTTATATGGTCTTTTATCATCTAGCCCTTTTTGCTAATCGTAAAGAGAACAAACCGTTTTTGACAGAAGTGCCAAGTACACGTTGGCTTTGGAGGTCGATGGTGATATCTATACAAACGGACCATATGTATATATAGTATACAAAGGTTGTTCGTTATTTGGGTCGATATATAGAATCAAAACGTCGTTCTCCATTGCATTTTCGTTTCCATATCGTCTTCGAAAGCGTTCATTCTTACAAACAATACATTCTTTCTGGTATCTTAAAGGTTCCAAAGGTTATTCTTTCGTTTGGAATTCAATCCAAGATGTAGATTTGAAGGTCAAAATGTGGGCTTTTCTAGACGAATATAGTAAAATATTGGATGAATATACGTTTAATCTACGTTCGTTTATTTAATTACAGGACTAATAGGTTCGATTTCCCGTTGAAAGTAGCATTCTTGTTTGGTTTGCCTGCTTTATTTGGGCTTTGGTTGGGTCTAAGCATAGGAGGAAGTGTTCTTGTTGGAATTGGCTATGGCTTCTTTGCTCCATGGATTTCATCTTTTGAAGCTTTTAGACATGAAGATGAATCTAACAAGTTCTTCCACTCCCTTGTGGTAAATCTTTATTCTATCACCTTCAAATTATTTCTATATTTTACTTACTGTAAATGCATTCATATGTGAATATAGCATTCACTTATGAATCCAACTTTCAAAACTTTATCATATCTCTCTCTTCCTCACATTTTTCACAAGTCAGGGGTCTTCATGGAATCATGGGAACAACTGTTCTACTCTCTTACACTCCCTAGACCCTACCATATACTGGATTCGTTTGGTTTGGTTTACTGATGAATCTTGCTTTATAAAGAGGACTTTTGAAATGGCATCTAATTTATCGAACGTTTTTCTTGATGTGGGGTGCCTCAAAAACTATTTTCTTGGATATGTATGTTTATAACGTTTCAATGGATCGATGCTAGGATGGAACATGGGGAACAATTAAGGGAAGTTGCACGGTTGTTCGAGATTTTGCTGATATTTGTTATCATTCTTACCCCCTTTACTTGAAGGAACTTCGTGAATCGCCTTCTTCCGATGAGCTTCGAACTCTTAGGTATATATATGAAACTATTTATCATTCTTATTTTTCGATGCCCATGGAGATAGAGAACAAAAGTCAATAATCTTAACCTTGTAGGCCATCTCAACGGGCAAAAACAGAGCCCTAACACCCTTGATTACCAAAAGAAAAAAAGTCAAGAATCTTTACCATCCATTCTTGAAAAAACATCAACTTTGACTTTTAAGGTCAAACGAGTTACTGTTGGATTTGAAATTTTGCAACTTCTCTATCCAATTTGATATGGATTTCGATAGTGATATTTGGCCATTTTCTATGAATCTTCTTCTGGTATATAATTTTTATAAAAATCCTTTGGGATTGTATTGAATTTTGAAGTCAAACATTACTTCATTTGACCTGAAAATCTGATATGCAACAGAACAGATGATCCAACTCTTGAAGCTGTATTTTTCAGGTTCATTCATGTGCCAGCATGCATCATTGTTGGATTATTGGGGCTAATCGTTGATGTTCCTCTTTACACAGCGATCGCTGTCGTAAAGAGTCCGTATATGCTGTTCAAAGGGTGGCAAAGACTCATCCATGATCTAGTAAGTCGCGAAGGTCCATTTCTTGAAACCGCATGCATACCCATTGCTGGATTGACGATTCTTGTGTGGCCGATTGTTGTTATTGGGAGTGTTATGATGGCGATTGTTTCAAGCATGTTCATAGGTTTGTATGGCTCGGCTGTAGTATATCAGGTTTGAATCCACACCCTTCTTTCAATGCAGTCTTATAGTCAACACTAGTGATAGCTCAAAAAAGCCCAATCCTGAAGCCTGATCCGGGTTAGGCTCAAATCCTGATCGGGCCGAAATTTTGGGACAGACCGGGACCTAGGCCCGTCCAGAAAAAGCCCGACCTGGAAAAACCCTATTAAGCCAAAACAAACCTAAAAAGCCCAATCGAACCCTTTTTCAACCCCAAAGCCCGGGCCCATCCCCTTTTCAATAGAAGCCCGACCTGAAAAGGCCCTGTTAAGTCCGAAAAAGCCCGACAAGACCCTTTTTCAACCCTAAAGCTTGGCCCGGCCAGGCATATGAGCCTGAAAAGCTCGGACCTTTTTTTCTCATTGAAAACTTTTGGGGTGAAATGTAGGAAAGATCTTTCAAGAGGGGAGTTTCGTACGTGATCGCGATGGTTGCAGAGTTTGATGAGTACACCAACGATTGGTTGTACCTTCGAGAGGGTTCTGTTTTTCCCAAGTAATATCTCCATCTCGATACATTCTTGTTTTGATGTGAAAAAGAAATATCGAATCTTGATCACTTGTTGCATATTTGCAGGCCAAAATACCGGAAGAAAAGAATCCCTCATTCACCGGAGATATCAGTTGGCGGTCGATCATCCGAAGCCAAACACAACGCTTTCCCGATGCAGCCTCCGCCCGTAATGCTTATGCCGAGCCTATCGTCATCACGATCAGTTCGGGAGGTCATCAGGGAAGTTAAAATGGTGCAGGTAAGCAAGCATTTTCATTTCTGATGAGAATTTTTCTTTGAAGTTTTCATGCATTATCTGTTTCAAACTCAAATTTTCATTGCAACAAAATCAACCATATCTTTACATATGACATACAATTGTTTGGTCCTATAAATTAAGTCCTATAAAAAATTACATTTTTCACGTATTGTAATTTCGATCGGTTGAACCCCACGAAAGCAAACTTCTTAAAGGTTCTGTTTCGGACCCACGACGCTAAGTTCATAAAGATTCTCGTTCTTGAAAAAAAGGATCATTCTTTGTATACATTTTCACATAGCATACTTCCGATAGGCCAAACCCCACGAATGCAAACTTCTTAAAGATTATGTGTCGGACCCGACCCGGTGATACGTGTTTGAAAAAGATCGAACCCCCACGAATGAAAAGTTCATCAAGATTCTAGTTCTCGAAAAAGAGGAGCAATCTTTGCCAGCCATTGCAATCGAGAAAACATGATATCTCTATTTTGATACAGGTTTGGGAAAACCTGATGCAGTCTTGTGAGATGGCAGGAAAGGAACTACTTGATGCCAATGTGATAACTCCCCGTGAACTTTACGATTGGTTGAACGCCAAAAAAGGAAACGAATCTGCCATTGTTGGTATTGGGCTACCTTGTTATTCGTTCTTCCAGAATCTTATGCGATCCATCAAAGTTGGTTCGGAGGGTCTTGTTCTTCTTGACGGTTTGGAGATAACCCATTTGAATCGGCCACAGGATAGATTACTGGACTGGTTTTTTCACCCGATAATGGTAATCAAAGAGCAAATCCGAGTGATCCAATTGACCGAAGGCGAAATAAGGTATTTGGAGAAAGTGATGCTATTTGGAAGCGATCCGCAACGAATGCAAGCCTGGGATAATGGCAGTTTTGTGCCTGATGATGCTCTTAGAGCTGCTCAACTTCAGGGCATCAGCAGAAGGTAGAAATCTTGACCTCTTTTGCTTCAAAGTTTTTGTTCATGGGTACGTTTATGTTGCGATATTAGACTGGGACAGAGCAGGACCTAAAAATAGGTAGAACAAGAACCAGGGAGATGAGATAAAATTGGTAAATTACTAAACTGTTGAATTAAAACAGTAAAAAGTAAAAACCTTCCATAATTCTTTCACCTGCCTATTCCCTTGGTCTGTCTAATCCACGTGACTGGACGGGTTAAAGTGAGCTAGATAGGTGAGTGAAAGAATTGTGAAATGTTTTAGTATTTTAATTTTACACGAGTAGTTTAGTAATTTACCAATCTTGTCTTGTCTCCCTGATTCTTGTTTCACCTATTTTGGTGGGACAAAAAAATATCATGTCATGTCCCTTTCTGTATACCAAACACACTGATAGTTTCATTAGCTGATAATTCACGAATCTTTTGTTAGGATGATAGGGCTAACCCGTGGTGCATCGAAGTTACCAACTTACAGAAGAAAGTTTCGACACGTGATCAAGAACTTGATCATATATAGTATACCGAGCGACGATGCAACGAGATCTATGTCTATGAGATCAGTAGCAAGTGTGTAGAAAAGAAGTTGCCAATTTTGATGTCAATCAAGTGATGTTCATATTATTTTCGGTTTTGTTCTTCTTGATATGGTTTTGGTCGTACAAAAGTTGCGTAGATTTACACTTTTTTCGTGTAGGCCCTTTGTATATATTTTACTCTTTTTAGATCATTTCATCTGGTTTAGGTTGGTTTTCATTTTGAAATGATTGGTGCAACAACAGTGGATATTGTAAGGGTATTTTTTTAGGTCAAAGACTGTAAGAAAGAAGAAATAGGGTTCATTTCTTCTATTGGTAGAACATGGGGTTGCCTCAAGGAGGCGACTACAAATGTATCCTTTGGGAGTACCTTTTTTCTACTGTAGGAAGCTATCTCAATTCTCTCTGGGGTTTGTGGAGATCTAGCGGAAATTCATAGTTGTCCCGAAATATTGGCTTATTTTACATGTGACGACAAAATAAGGTCGATGAAATTTTAAGATAGTGAAACTGGTTTGAACCAGATCGGGTTTAGATTTCTATTTTTTTGTATTTTTTGAAACAATTATTAGGTAAAATAAGAACATTTACTTTTGATATAATGATCCATATTTAGACGATTTTTATTATTTGTTTTGGTTTTTTTTTTTTTTTGCTATTTTTTTTTATTTTATGCATCGGACCACTTGTAATAAAAAAAAATCAAAGAAAAATGTGCATCGGACCACTGGTAATAAAAAAATAACTCAAAGTAACACATTTTTCAAAGTTGGGACTGTTTGACAGTTGTTGAATGATTTGGTGCAAAATGATTAAATGGTCGGAATGATTAAAAAACTCTTATGATATAGTACAAAATGAAATATAATTATTTAGTAATTGTTCAGAATGAAATTAGGGCGTTGAATGGTTAAGAGAGACCCAAGATACAAAATCATTCATAGGTTTTAGAACCATTAAGAGACAGATTTTTTTTTTGTCAAACAAAATTCAACTCTTAGCGATTCAGATGTTATCTATTAATAAAACTATTAAAAAGTAAACAAACAACCCCTAAGAAAAAAAAAAACAATCCTTTTGCAAGCCGAAAGGAAAATATTATACAAAAAAAAAAAACTACAAAACCAAGCAAAATCAATATATTCCACTTGAAAATAAAGTATAAGAAAAGGTAGAATATATATAAACTCGTCATTCACTTCAGATAATAAAACAATTGTTTATGTTAGGGACCGTTTACCAAACACTTATCCGGTAAGTGTTTATCGGTAAAATTTTACACCATCATTTACTTATCGGGTAGGATTTTAGTCCACCAAAACGGCCTCGTATGCAACAATTTATCAGGTAAGCGCTTACTGTGATAAGAGTCATCGCCTTCACTTACCGGGTAAGACTTTCGGTCTTTGTCTCTTTTTCATACATAATAAGATTCTTGGTTCTTACCATATTTATCAGATAAGGTAATGTGACTTGGTAAATACTCATCCAAATAAACATTTGATAAACACTACCTAAATATCCTAATATTTGAATGAAAAAAGGAAACTGTTTCTTAGACCTTGAAAAGAGGCCCCTTTTAGTGTATTATAATTTGGGTGTTAAATGCGTCAATAAATTATGTTGTGGTGGCAAAGTCAAGTCTCAAACTTATACGTTATTGTAAGAATGCAGGGTTTTTCAAGGCCGACATGAGACTGTAAATTTGTATGTCATATATATATCTATACTATATTATAAAGCATTTGACAAAAACTCTTAAAAACTATTTTTTATGTGTAAAGTACTGTTAGCATATTATTTAAAACTCAAGATTACAAGTAGATTGTGCATAAGTACAACTTATTAAAGCTCCATATCTGAATTCGTGTAACTATTTGCAGATAAACATAATAAAATACAAGATAAACATCTTATTTTAAATATAAAAAATCTAAAATATAATTAGGATAATCATTGAGTT